GGACATGATTCTGCGAAACTCCAAAAACCAAGATATAAATATTAAAGTAGATATAAAGTATCACTGCACTGCAAAAGTACACATTCCACATATAAAAAAGTTTTACAAAGCCTTCCCAAAATAACTCTTTAATATCTTTATTTCCACAGTCACATGACCGCATCTGTGTTTTTCCCTCTGTGCATAGCCTGAGCAGTAGGCATGTGTGAAGGTGCAGCTACATTGCTACAGTGATGTCCCTGGTGTGAAAGGGTATTTCTCAATACTGTGGGCGGATAGTAATGGTTGAGTGATGCAACCTGATACCCTTTGCATTAGCAGTGTGAAAAGCATTGGCACATTGAAATGCTTTCAGTCAGTTTGGGTAGGTGGGTGGGTATGTAGAGGGTGCATGTGACCATGATTGGCAGCCTGAAAACCCCTGATGATGGGGAGACTACATGCTCACTGTGACCCAGCACAACTGCCTGTAGTCCTTATCCATAAGTGCACACAGCAGTGTGGCAACTCATCTGCTGCTTGGCAAGCAGTGACTGAGCAATGCACTGCAAGCAGTAGCATAGTAGTAATGTCATTCAGGTAAAATTCAGCAAATTGACGGCCCAAGTTTAGAAAACACAAATGATTTAGGGTACAATGCCGGCCAAAAATAACAATATATAATAATTAACCCAAAAATATAACAAAATCAGCTTTTGCTGCAATTTTTACCTGTAATCTGTAGGCTTCCACTGCAGTAATTTTGTTCCCTGTGGTCCCTGTGTATGTTGTAAAGTTGCGGGTGTGGGCTCGGAGCAGTAGCTACTTTACAACACACAAAGGGACCCATGGGTAGCAAAATTAGCCAGTGCCAGCACCAATTCAGAGATGATTTGAGGATCTACAGCCGAGTGATGCACAAATACAATACATTTTTGTTAAGGTACTTGAATGTATTTTTAAGATTTATTTCCTCAGTTTAGTTTAGTGTCACTCTAACTTTACTGTTTGGGATTTTTAAACTGTTAAAATGCATTTTGTACAATTCAAGCAACACCTTTATATAAATATTAGTTTTTAATCTGAAATTAAACCAAGGGGGTACAATTGCCGCTTGACGGCCCAATACCTTTTTACTGTTTCCCCTTCAGTGTGTGCTGACAATACATTTTGACCCAAACAGCCAGAAATGTCGGTGGCACCCAATGTGATTAGAAATGTATCTCAGGTGTTGGCTGAGCCAAGATTAGCTCACTGCTCTGTATCCAGCTGCTGTAGCACTTTCTAGCATACACTGATGACAAGGGGGAGCGTTAGAGGATGCATTAGAATGATTCAATTGCATTTACATGGTACATTCTCTCTAGTTGAATGTTTAATAACACATGCCATGGCAATTCTTTCTAAGGTATGCTTGATGGTAACTATAAAGTGCAAATCAGCTTTTACTTGAGCTGTGGAGTATCTAGCAGATTCTTCGATTTTGCATGGTAAATTTGCATTAGAGAAGGAATTCAGATACGGTAAGGATTATTGTCAGTAACGGTGTGACATGTCTGTGAACTCATAGCTCCCAACATTTTCTTATCATTTTCTATGACACTTTGCCGCTGAACCTGTCAGAAAGAATACCAGTAATGACACTGAAATACTGGAAGTTTATTTGCACATTAAGTGCTACTTTTTCTTTGTTAACCAGTTGTAGTGTACTATGAAACACCCAAAAAAACTTAACTGAAGTATAAAGGGAGAACATGGCCTGGCCTGTCCCTCTCTTGTTGTTGCCGTTTCCCATACCAAATGAAAAACCAGGACTTGCTACCGTGGTAGCAGCTACTGTGGCTGCTGTGAAATACGGAGCTTCCGAACAGTGTTTGTAAACATTGTTCAGAAACATAATCCAGAAATGCAGTGACATTTTTGTATTTACTCTGTTCACCTGCAAATGTTCCTATTTAACCCTTATTAACCCTTAGCTAAAACTAAGCAGCCCTAATTAATAGACATGTGCAATTCGTTTCGTTCCGAATCGAAATTCGGACGAATGTTCGGAAATTCAGACATTCGGATGTATCCGAATTCCAAATTACAGATATAACGAATGCAAACGAATCCGAATTTCCGTTTCCGAAATTCGGTAGCGGTAGTTCGTTTTGTTTCTTATTCGTTTCGTTCGTTGAAGAAAAACATTTTCCCCCTCAAATGTCACTTTGCTGCAAACGAACGAATGAATGAATGAAACGAAAACGAAACGAACGTGCGAACGAACTACCGCTAACGAATTTCGTCCGAATCCGAATTCGAATTGACTTTCACACCCGAATCCCGAAAAACTAAATAACACAAATCCGAATTTAAAACGAAACTAAACAAATTTTTTTGGCAGTGCACATGTCTACTAATTAACACCTGATCCCCTTTAGCTATTAGATTCAGATTTGTGTGCTGACAATACATTTTGACCCAAACAGCCAGAAATGTCGGTGGCACCCAATGTGATTAGAAATGTATCTCAGGTGTTGGCTGAGCCAAGATTAGCTCACTGCTCTGTATCCAGCTGCTGTAGCACTTTCTAGCATACACTGATGACAAGGGGGAGCGTTAGAGGATGCATTAGAATGATTCAATTGCATTTACATGGTACATTCTCTCTAGTTGAATGTTTAATAACACATGCCATGGCAATTCTTTCTAAGGTATGCTTGATGGTAACTATAAAGTGCAAATCAGCTTTTACTTGAGCTGTGGAGTATCTAGCAGATTCTTCGATTTTGCATGGTAAATTTGCATTAGAGAAGGAATTCAGATACGGTAAGGATTATTGTCAGTAACGGTGTGACATGTCTGTGAACTCATAGCTCCCAACATTTTCTTATCATTTTCTATGACACTTTGCCGCTGAACCTGTCAGAAAGAATACCAGTAATGACACTGAAATACTGGAAGTTTATTTGCACATTAAGTGCTACTTTTTCTTTGTTAACCAGTTGTAGTGTACTATGAAACACCCAAAAAAACTTAACTGAAGTATAAAGGGAGAACATGGCCTGGCCTGTCCCTCTCTTGTTGTTGCCGTTTCCCATACCAAATGAAAAACCAGGACTTGCTACCGTGGTAGCAGCTACTGTGGCTGCTGTGAAATACGGAGCTTCCGAACAGTGTTTGTAAACATTGTTCAGAAACATAATCCAGAAATGCAGTGACATTTTTGTATTTACTCTGTTCACCTGCAAATGTTCCTATTTAACCCTTATTAACCCTTAGCTAAAACTAAGCAGCCCTAATTAATAGACATGTGCAATTCGTTTCGTTCCGAATCGAAATTCGGACGAATGTTCGGAAATTCAGACATTCGGATGTATCCGAATTCCAAATTACAGATATAACGAATGCAAACGAATCCGAATTTCCGTTTCCGAAATTCGGTAGCGGTAGTTCGTTTTGTTTCTTATTCGTTTCGTTCGTTGAAGAAAAACATTTTCCCCCTCAAATGTCACTTTGCTGCAAACGAACGAATGAATGAATGAAACGAAAACGAAACGAACGTGCGAACGAACTACCGCTAACGAATTTCGTCCGAATCCGAATTCGAATTGACTTTCACACCCGAATCCCGAAAAACTAAATAACACAAATCCGAATTTAAAACGAAACTAAACAAATTTTTTTGGCAGTGCACATGTCTACTAATTAACACCTGATCCCCTTTAGCTATTAGATTCAGATTTTATTTTTATTTCTAATTTTAACAACATAAATACTTTAATCTTTTGTTGGTTTTATTTTATTTTTTCAGCATTAAAATGTGCAAAATTGAAAAAAAAACACCTTTATTCCATTTGTACATTGCAGTGCTTTGCACCAGTAAAAACGTTAGAGTCATTAGACGTGGAGCAAAATTATTGAATAAAATTTGTACATTTTATCTACAGTAACACTCATTTTTTACAACCAAAACTTATCTGCTAGTTAATGTATTTGTGTCTACAGACTTCATAAAAAATGCAAGGTAATGTCACAAAAAATAGCCTTGCTTGTTCTAAAAATAAATAAATATGTAGTACTTTGTTATCTTAAGAAATGACAAAGTAATCACAGAATAAACAGGCCCATAGCAGAAATGAATAAAATTATCTGGTCCATAAGGGGTACACAGGTGCGAAAGTTGAAGTGGTTAAAGTCCAAGCAAACAGCTAATTATACAGCTGAAAATGTATTTGTTAACTAACTTATCTAGGATCTGATTTCTGTTAAGTCATTCTTGACTCAGGCAGCCCTATCAGGCAGCACAGTCAGGTCCTGTACTCCCTTACACCTCTCTGTTGGCTACAATACTGGTTGGTTTGGCACCTGCCCAAGTCTGTGATTGGACAAGGAAACAGCAGCATCACAGTAATAGGTTCATCACTATGTTCTCTTGTCCTCTCAGAAAGCCCTCAATGTTACAATGGCAGCACAGTGAGTCACTTTTTCGCGAGGACTGATATTTATGCAGCTTCAGATGCCTGGCATTGGAATAACAGCAACAAGAAGAAAAAAACACAGCACTCTCTCAGAGATGCAGGGCGTGCGTGGATGCGAATTGTGTGGATTGCTGCTCAAAAAACAGGAGGAGGACCCTGTGAACGTAATGATGAGGCACTAAGAGCGCAAATCCGAAAATATAAATGGTGTTATTTGAATGAAAAATTGTTTTCAGAAAGTGAAGCGATTCTCCACCACGCCCGGACTTCTGACACCACAAGTAAGTTCTTCACTTTCTGAAAACAGTTTTTCATTCAAATCACACCATTTATATTTTCGGATTTGCGCTCTTAGTGCCTCATCATTGGAATAACAGCAGCCAATGTCCAACCTCAAATCCTTACTGTAGTTCAATGGTAAACCATGGGCAGTTTTGTCCAAGGATTAATACGACTCTCTGTATTGTGACCCATACATATCTTAATTTCATTTTTGCAGAACTTAGATCTGTGACAGTCATAGATAGAAGTGAATGGTAACATGAGGTTACTACTTACCAAGATGGATATTCATAATTTTTGCACAGTATTTGGACATTGCATCCAAATCGTTCAGTTGTCCTTGGAGGAATGAAATTTGAGCTTCAAGATCTTCTTCCTGCAAAAAGATGTGAAAAACGTAAGTCATATTTGTACAAATATTTGCTAATGGTAAAAAAAATATGATGGCTGGATGTTAACGTAGACATATCTTTCACTTTACAAGTCCACATCCTGCAGGAAGGAGGAAGCCATTCCTTGTTCTTCTCTCACCAGATCATCACTCACATTTTAACTTTGCAGTAAGTGATATTGTAAAAGGCAGCAGAAGGTGGCTGATCTGCATGTGACATGGGTCATACAGCCCAGAACATAAAAGCTACTGCACAGACCTACATGATTGTGCCATCTCGGTAAGGCTTTTAAAGCAAAAAAGTGATGCTGACTCTTAATGATGCCTAAACAAAGATGGAACCGTCCCACTTAGGCATTATTAGGAGGAGTACTGTTATATATATATCATGCATAAATAGACCTGAGGCACCCTGGATCCCCATCTCTTCAACTGTCCCTTACCTCTTCAAACAGGAGTGCAGTAATGAAACAGAAGGCCTGGCAGGTGGTCATGTGACTACCTGCCCAGCTTCTGATTGGATGGGTAGCTGCAGCCACGCTCCCTTGCAGCTTCCCAGACACCGAGTATGTGGCTGTTATTAGAGGAATGTAAGTGGCATGTGCTGCTGTGCTCTGTATCTCTGCGCTTGTTACAGAGAGATCTTTATAATCTCCTTACCGGCTCAGTGACTAAAAATATGTCACCCACTGTTGCAGTTTAAGTCTTGCCCTCGGGGTGATTAGGGTGTGCACAGGCACACACAGGCTTCTGCAAGACTTTACCCTGTATAAAGCTGCCCTGATAAAATATAACTTCTCCCTCCGTGCTGCCAAACAAACTTATTTTGTCACTCTCATTAACACATTCTCATCCAGACCTCGTCAACTTTTTCTACCTTCAAGTCTCTACTATGTCCTCCACCACCACTAACTAACTCACTGCCCAGGACATTGCCATTCATTTCAAAAACAAAATAGATACAATTCGAGATCAGATAGCCACTGTCCAATCAACTGCCCCTTTTATTATAGTACCTGATCCTCCATCACACTTGTTACTTTCCTCGTTTGACCCTGTCACCACAGAGGAGGTTACTAAGCTTCTCTCTGACACCCACCTCACAACTTGCCCCCTAGACCCTGTTCCCTCAAAACTACTTTGGTCACCCTCTTGCTCTATCCTAGACTCTCTTACTCCCATTTTCAATCTTTCCCTCTCTACTGGAATCTTTCCTACCCCTCTCAAACATGCACTAGTCACCCCAATACCCAAAAAACCTTCACTGAACCATAGCAACCTCAATAATTTTAGACCTATCTCCTTACTCCCATTCACCTGTAAACTACTAGAACGCCTTATCTACAACCGCCTGAGTTGCCACCTCACTAATAACAACCTTTTGGACCCCTTTTAGTCTGGCTTTCGCCCCAAACACTCCACTGAAACCGCCCTCCTAAAACTCACCAATGACCTAATAACCGCTAAAAACAATGGCCACTATTCCTTACTCTTGCTATTAGACCTCTTTGCTGCTTTTGACACTGTTGACCACTCGCTGCTTCTCAAAAAACTCCACTCGCTTGGCCAACAAGACTCTGCTCTCTCGTGGTTCTCCCCCTACTTATCTATGCGCTTCTTTAGTGTCACTTACAATTCTAACTCCTCCCATCCTCTTCCTTTTTCTGTAGGGGTCCCCCAAGGCTCTGTCCTTGGACCCCTTCTCTTCTCTATCTACACCTCCTCCCTTGGTCAACTAATAACCTCACATGGCTTCCAATACCATCTCTATGCCGATGACACTCAAATTTATCTTTCCACTCCACAACTCTCCCCCTCAGTGTCCTTGCGTGTCACTAATCTACTAACTGACATATCAGTCTGGATGTCACAACATTTCTTAAAACTCAATCTTTCAAAAACTGAGCTCTTGATATTTCCTCCTACCCGTGCACCTTCCCCCAACATTTCAGTTGAGATTGATAACACAACTATCCACCCCTCCTCCAATGCCAAGGTCCTAGGTGTCATCCTTGACTCGGACCTCACCTTTCTTCCCCACATCCAATCGCTATCCAAATCCTGCCGCCTTCACCTTCGTAACATCTCAAAAATACGCCCCTTCCTCACCAATGACACCGCAAAACTACTCATACACTCCCTTGTTATATCTCGTCTTGACTATTGTAACTCCCTCCTCATTGGCCTTCCACTACACAGGCTATCCCCCCTTCAGTCTATCATGAATGCAGCTGCCAGACTCATTCACCTTACCAACCGCTCAGTGTCTGCATCCCTCCCCCTGCCAATCCCTGCACTGGCTTCCACTCGCCCAGAGGATACAATTCAAAATATTAACAGTCACTTATAAAGCCACCCACAACTCCGCCCCCGGATATATCTCAGACCTTGTCTCAAAGTATCGCCCTAACTGTCCCCTCCGCTCATCCATTGACCTCCTGCTTTCCAGCTCCCTTGTCCACTCCTCCCATACTCACCTCCAGGACTTCTCTAGAGTCTCTCCCATCCTCTGGAACTCTTTACCCCAACCTGTCCATCTATCGCCCACCTTGACTGCCTTTAGGCGTTCCCTAAAGACTCGTCTCTTCAAGGAAGCCTATCGCACCTTGACCTAATCACTGAACCTTCACATTCTCAAATAATTCATAACCACACAGCTACCTCCTCATGTATCATTCCCCCCTCCTCTTTTAGATTGTAAGCCCTCAGGGGCAGGGCCCTCCTTACCATCTTGTCTTGAATTGTATTGTAATGTCTTCCTTATATTGTAAAGCGCTGTGCAAACTGTTGGCGCTATATAAATACTATGTAATAATAATAATAATAGTAACACACAACATACGTACTGCATATGTGTGTTGAGGCGTATTGCCATTCATTGTCAATTGCCTCCAGTGCACATCTTCAGTGTGCTGCAAGGTACCTGTGCTATAGTGCACCACATCACACATATCTGAATGCTCTGTGTGTTACAGTACACTGCATTTTGCCTTGCAGTGTGAATGGGTCCAAAGAGATAATATGCTTCAAATGTACTTATACTGCGTGTGCATGTTTATGCATGCAGCCCTATCATTTACAGAGCAGAAGAACTACATACCTCCCAACTTTCTGAGATGAGAAAGAGGGACACCTTCCAGCACAATGTATGTAAGCAATGGACACACTGCTGACACGTCCCAAGTTAAGCGGACCGTTAAAAATGTCCATGCCAAAAATGATTAGTTAAACCCAGAATCGTTTTTGTCCCCATTATTATTTTTTAGTTACACTGAGTTTTCGAAATAGCAAACAAGAAAATTAAGGGTTACGATAAAAGGTTTAATGCAGAACAACACTTTGATAGTTAAATGGAACCTTTTCATAGATATCTGTACATCAGACCAAAAAGAGGGACAACTGAGGAGGAAAGAGGGGCAGAGGGATTTGGTTCCAAATGAGGGAGAGTTGGGCAGTATGGAACTACTGTACTCTATTGCCATGATACAAGACCTGATTTAAGCGCCAAGTGTTTTACAAGTTATATGTCTTGTTATATGAAGCGTACTAACAAACAGGGTTTTCCAGTTTCCCTTGAAAGCTACTCTAATATGTTATAAACAAAAGTACCACTTATTATCCCAGACACGTGTAAAGATACAGTATATAAGCTATACATACTATAAAAATACACTTTTTGGCTTCAAACAAGCTGTAATAGTAATGTAAAAAACATTGGTATAAAAAGTTGCCAATTTGCAGTGATTTTTGAATTAGGATTTCGAATTCTGAAGCAAATTAAATTTTTTTGGCTGGTGAACACTACAAAAATGATCAGTATTTCTTCTACTTTTAGAAAGCATGTCAGCTATAAAACCAAATAGTGGGGTAATGATGCTCAAAGTAGCAGTACATTAACATACCTTATAGCTGACATTTAAAATCATGGCTGCATTATAATTAGCAGGATTTTCCTGACATCTGTTGCATTACCGAATGATACTTTCTATAAGCTGTTAAGCAATGCTAATTTCTGGAATGCTCAATCATCTTAACACAATGCCAAGTTTTCTTTCTGTACCATATTCATCGACTACATTGTGTAGCACCGAGCACAACTACAAATAAAAAACTGTGATTGGATCTTAACTGCAAGGGGATTTCTAGAGAAGTATATCAGTCTGCAGAATATAAGACTGATACCACAGCATTTTCAAAGGTTAGAAAATAACAGAACAAACTGACTTGGCAGGAAGGAAACTATCCGTGGATCCCATAGTGGCAACCAATCAGACATGGACGGTATTTTTCTGGTGAAAGTGAGGACATGATTCCAGGATTAATTGGTTGTTATGGTCAGTCCATGGGCAAACATACTGCCTATAAAGCCATTGCAACTGCCCAGAGGTCATAAACATCAAGAGGAGCCTATCAGACCTAATAAAGACTGGATGAAAGAGTTTCTTTCCTTTCGCTGCTGTTTATCTAGACTCCTTGGTAGATAATACCAAAAAAAACAAAACAATGGATATATGGCTGCTAAAAGTGGATCTCCAACAACCTGTTTTTCATTTTGTACATAGTAGTGCAGGGTTGGGGACCTATATCCTACTTTTATTGCTGGAAATATTGTATTTCACAGCTAAAATCTGCAGCACTCAGTGGCCAGCAGGGAAGAACATACTTACCTAAAGAGATGCCAGGCATGTGTTCTTTCATATAACGCACAAGAACAGCAGTATAGTGACTAGGGACCGCCCATTAAGGCCCATCAATGTACTCGACATTTACAAAATACTCTTTCACGGCTTGGGAGGGCTGTTCAAAGAAGATCTGAGGCAGGGTGCTCTGACGTTTCCAGAAGCCTGCTGGTCCATCCCACTAAACCTGATCTTAGTATGAAGTAAAGACCAGCTGAAAGACCCAGTGATGATGTCACTGGGTCCCAAAAGAGTTATTTCTTAAAAATTAAATTATTTGATTGAAACATTTAAACTGTATGTTGA